TCATCTCTAAAATGGGAGTCATAGCTGTTTCCCCCAGGGTTTTCATAGGGCACTAATGACAGTCAAGCACATGTCCTCTGCTTACTTAATACTGTGCCCAGCATGCTGTAAGTTCTTGGTACAGCAGTGGTAAGGACTCTGTGTCCTCAGGGGAGTCTCCTCTGCAGGGGTCACGCTCCTTTGTTACCTGAGGCGGGCTGGGTTGTCTCTTCTGGAGCAAAGAGGGACGTGGGGAGGGATCCTCTGAAGTCCAGCTGGGCACACTGCCAGTCCTTGGCTCAGCCAGGCTCCTACAGCCCTGGCAGGGCCTCTCCGCACCCGTTGGGCTGGACAAGCACTGGCCCCGGCACAGCTTCCTGTTCCCCTTATCTTTCCCCTGCAGGTGCTCTCTGAAGTGGGAAATGCTACCCCTTGCTTCCTTCACTTCCTTTTACTCATTAGGACCCTCGTTCTTCAGGCCTTGGTCCAATCCCAGCAGCTGGCCTGGTGCCCACTTTGATCTGTGTCTTTCTGCCCCCTTGCTGCAGACCAGATGTAACGTAGACCCTGGCTCCAGTCTCAGCGTTTCCCTTCCCTTCCCATCCCCAATCCCAGGTTTAGAATTGAAGACTTCTCAAATTGCCCCATTCACCAGCTTTCCCACCCCAAATACTCTTCACCCCCGCCCCCGTGCCTAATCCCATCCCCCCACCACCTTCAAGTTCAAATCGCCGTTCTGCCCTTCCACAGGTGTATGACCTTGGGCCATCACTCAGATTTTCTGAGCTTTAATTATCCTACCTATAAGATGGAGACAATGATCTTGGCCTGCCCCAGAAATGATTTTAGGCCTAACACAGTATGAACTTTGGGCATGTTTTATAATTTATGCAACGCAGTAAACATTCCAGTATGTTGGAGGAATGTGCTTAAAAATGTATTGATGGAGAATGATCAAATAAAAATTTGTCATTTTGGGGCTGGGGATTTAGTTCAGTGGTTCCACCGCCTGCCTTGCAAGTGCTAGGATTACAGGCGCCTCCATGCTGGCTTCAAGTACAATTTTGAGATGCATTGTGAGGTTAAACTGACAAACTTTGTCACCCTAGAGACAGAGCTTCAGATTATAACTTTTGCTGTGTGACTTCTAGAGAGGCAAGTCATTAAACTCTCTGAGCCTGTTTCTTTCTTTCTTTTTTTTGTACCAGGGGTCAAACTCAGGACCTTGCCCTTGCGAGGCAGGTGCAGTACCACTGAGCTAAATCCCAGGCCCAGAGACTCAGTTTCTTTATTAGTAAAATGGTGGAACAGTATATGGACAAAGTCAGACTGTTTATGTAAAAGCTAAATGTTATTCCTGGCCCACAGTAAATGTTCCCAATAAAAATGATTTCTGTCATCTTGCTATTTAATTTTCAGGGTTCCAGTGTGTGCAGAGGGTGCTTGGGAAAGAGCTATTTGCTGCTGCCACTTCTGTCTGTGACAGAGCTTAGCTTGGTAGGAGAGTTCATGCTGTCATCAGTGCTGTGGAGACTGAGATGCCTCCACTTTAGCCGCAGTGCCTCAGGCCCTGCCTGCTCGGACCCACAGCACTCCATTCCAAATTGGATCAGTCACACACATTTTATCCTCCATCCCAAAGCATTCTTCATGCCTTCAAGAGAGAAAAAAGCCAAGGCAAAGAGATGCACAAGCTCATTAGGAGTCAGAGAAATGCAAAGTCGAACCAAAATGAAGCCCCATTTTACATCTACCCGACTGCCAAGGAGTGGCTAGGATGTGAACCGGGGGACGCTCACGCACAGCTGGGAACGGAAGTGGGCACAAGCCCTTTGTACTCACCAAGTCCACTCGCAGGTCTGCAGCTACAAAAACCCCTCCTCCTACGCACAAGAAACCATGTGCGGCGATGTTCACACCAGCACTGTTCATGGTAAGTGAGAAATGGGGGGGAAAAAAGACCTAAATGTCTAACAAGACGATGGTTAACTAAACTGCTGCAGATTCCTAAAATATTTACATAGGGCCATCGATGGACCAAGGTAAGGTGGTAAGTGAAGAAAGCAATTTGTAGAGGAATGCATGCACTTTAACACCATTTAAACAAAGTGGAAATATGACTATGTATTGTTTAGATAGACATGTGTCGGTAGTATAAGCATAGAGAAATTCAGGGAAGTGAAAAACTGAATTTTCACTGGATGTGATTAATTCAGGAGCTACATCGGGGAAAGATGAGACTGAGGAGGACTCCACTGGGGGCTTCAATTATATTGCACAACATTTTATTTCTTATGCTGGGTGGTGGGGATAGGTGTGTCTGTAATATAATAATTCTTCAAGCATGAAATAATAATTCTTTGAATATGAAATATTTCATAATTTTTTATAAAAGGCAAAACAATGTAAATGGTCATGATTTAAGTCATTTCATTTTTCCTGAGTCCTGGTTCAGGAAAACAAGGGCTCATTCTTCTTCCGACCAGACCACTTTGGTGAGCCGCAAAAGGAAAAGGACAGTGGTGCCAGAAGTAGTGGCACAGACCTGTAATTCTAGAACGCGGGAGGGTAAGGTAGGAGGATTTCTGCAGGTTCAAGTCCAGCCTGGGCTACACAAGGCCAGCCTGGGCTACATAGCAAGACCCTGTCTCAAAACAAATTAACTAACTAAATAACTAACTAACAATATCACCTAAATAGGAAAAGATTTTGATACCTTTTCTTGAGATAAGGTCTTGTCTCAAACTCACTCTGTAGCCCAGGCTGGCCTCAACTCAAGGCAATACTCTGGCCTCAGCCTCCTGAGCGCTGGGATCACAGACGAGTAGGGGTCACCACATGGGCTTGATGCTATTGTTTGACTAGCTTATAATATCTGAGAGGTAACCATGAACAAATCCTACTGTGACATCAACTCTCTCTCCAGGGAAAAGTAAGTCAAAATCTTGCCACCAATATTTGTCCCTGTTCTGGGTGTGGTGTAATTCATGCCTGTCATTCCAGCACTCAGAAGGCTGAGGCAGGAGGATCACTGCAAGTTCAAGACCAGCCTAGGCTACATAGTGGTTTCAAGACCAGCCTGAATTACTAGCAAGATCCTGTCTCAAAAAAAATTTTTTCATTAGAAAAATAATAAAATATTTGACCCTGTCTTTTTCCCCAGAGATCTCTATTACCAATATGCTTCCAGACATTTTTTTCTATGTCAGTTTGTTTGCTTGCTGATTTATTTATTTATTTTGAGGCAAGGTCTTGCTATGTAGTGCCGGCTGACCTCGAACTCACTGTGCAGCCCAGGCTGGCCTCAAACTCACAACAATACTCCTGCCTCAGCCTCTTGTGTGCTGGGATTATAGGCATGTGCCACCATACCCTGCTCTTTATATATTTAAATACTAGGATAGACGCATAATTTTTGAAATAGGAGGTAAGCAGAGGATGGAATTATAAATGCATTACTTGGACAGAAGTAAAGATTTCAAGTACTCTGTTACTGTTGCACATTTCCTTTCTGCACTATCAATATCACGTGGACCCCACCCTGTCAGTTTATTTGCTCATCAATTCTCTTCCACCGTCTCCAGAATCCTATGATAGGGACATATCATAACTGATCGTCTAAATTTTCATTTGTAATTAAACAAGAAATAAATTCTAGAGGCAAAATGTAAACATTGTAAACAATACAGACAGAATGATAAAACCCTTCACAAAATAGAGATAAAGATTCGCCCAAGATTGCACACTCGCCTCCACATATGCACAGGCCCACACTTGTAACCGCTGAATCCGGAGCCTCTCCCTGGAGAGAGAGGATATACATCCTTTGCTCTTGTACAGAAAAAAATACCTGGTTGCTGCGAGTGTGACTGACAAAGAGACAAACGGTTCTAAACTGCAATGTTCTACCACTTAGTGATATAGGCACACGTCACATGATATGCACAATTCGTGGCGCCCTATGAAGCTAGAAAGGCAGCCTCTATCTATGCAGCTCCCACTCTGGGGGGCCCGTCAGACAATAAGCACACAGATACGCAGCATAACTCCAGGTAGTGCTGAGTAATAAGAGGAACATGAAGTGGGGATTGGGGAAGGGAGAGTGAGGCTTTTGACTACTGCACAGTATTCCACAGTGTGGGATATCAGAGTTTTGGGAAATTACTTTCAAATTTCTCTCCTCGCATCATGGAGGAAGAACTACCTTTCACAGCCGGGAATGGTGGCGCACACCTGTAATCCAAGCACTCAGGAGGCTGAGGCAGGAGGATCACTGCAAGTTCGAGGCCAGCCTGGGCTACATAGTGAGTTCAGGGCCAGCCTGAACTACAAAGGGAGACCCTGCCTCAAAAACAAAAACGAAAATAGTTCTAGGACCAGGGATTTAACTCAGTGGCACTGTGCCTGCCTGGCAACCACAAGGTCCTGAGTTCAATCTCCTGTACCAGGAAAAAAAAAAAAAAGAAAGAACTACCTTTCACACTGCTATCCATCACAGAAACATATAGCCACAAACCTAAAACACTCATCTAAAGGTGAACAAGTATTTTATGAAATAATGCTAAGAAGGTGGATTAAAATATTTTAGTCTATTGTATTTTATTTTTAAAACATATTATCCATGACCTGTTAAAATGTTTTTGTTGTCTACTAATAGACTATGATCTCAGTTTGAAAAATATCATTTTATGTAACCAAACCCTTACTGAGATTTATATATTGTTCATCATTCTCTCCTATTACAAACAATGAGCTCTTTTCTACTCATTTTATGACTATTTCTCAGAGCAAGGTCCCTGATTGTGTAATTGCTTTGTAATTAATTTTCTGATAAAATGCATGCAACTATCCTAGAACACTAAATTCTAATCCTAGATCAGTCACCACCATGATGTATAAACTTTGGGCAAGCTCTCGCACCTCTCTGGGCCTCAGTCTCCTCATCAGTAACCTGCTGATCTCTACACCCTGCAGTCTGTCCTAAGCTGCAAGTAGATGCCCCACCCCCTGACTCAGCGACAGCGGATTTCTCATCAAGCCCTTCTCCCCCTTTTCCGCTCCCTGTTTCTCATTCCTCAGAAGCAGCCCAGAGAGAAGGAAAAGGGCAGGTCTGGACTCGCGGACCCAATGCTGGGCGGGGCCGAGGGAGGCCGCCCCCTAGTAGGAAATGAGACAGAGTAGGAATAACACTTTAAAAGCCTGACAACCTTTTCCTCCTGCCATTCCCTGGCCTCTTTCCATCCTCCTCAGCTCAGCCTCCACCCCTCCTAGACAGCCTTACTTCTCTTTTCAGGCTACGGCCAGGAGAGCGTTGTCCAGCCTGTCCAATCAAGAGCTCAGGTAGAATCAAGAGCTTCAGCCCCAGGATGTTGACAACACTGCTGCCTTTGCTGCCGCCCCTGCTGCTGCTGCTGCCCAGCTGGGCCCTTTGTAGCCAGGAAGCCTCCGAGGGTGAGTTGGGGATATCCTCTCCTGCCTGGAGATGGTTCTATAGACTCCCAGCCTTTCTGGATACACGAGCAAGACCAGAAGAGAGCTAATGCCACAGCATCTGTGTGTACAGCTGGTTGGATCTGTCTGTAGTGCAGTAAGGCACAGGCTTATGTCCCAAAGCCACAGCGACGAAGAGTTGCTGGGGACGCTGGTAGAAACAACTGGAAAAATGTTTAAAGGGACCAGTAGAGGGGGTGAGGGAACCAGTGTTGGAGCGAGGGGAGCAAAGCAGTGAGGTCTGGAAAGGGGGAGCTAAGGATGATGGGGACAAGGGTAGGTCTAGGGAAGATGAGAAGAGAGTCGGAGATGACCAGAGAGCCGGAGGGCGGTGAGGAGAAGCTGGGAGGACAGTGGTGTACCTTGGGGAGGCGGGAGGTGGCACATTGGGGGGGGGATGTCATTAGCAAACATCGTTACAATCTACTCCATTTTAACACAGCGAAGATTGGAGCACATCAACCTACGAATGCTTTTTCTCCATATATCATTTGAAATAGGTTAACATACTCAGGAGTACGTTGGAGGGTGGCAAATTGAAGGGCACAGTCGAGGGGCACAAACTCTAGCTGAGGTACTGAATGAGAACTGGTAGAAGACGCAGGAAAAGGCTGGGGCTGAGACAAGTTCGGTAGAAGGAGAGACTAGGGAAGAATGGGTGCAGCTGGTGAGGCGGAACTGGAGGGAAATAAGCTGTGACCAGTCGGAGAGTTCACAGGGGGTAAGGCTGCCTCATGGAAGCAGCACAGGGGAGTCACTGCCCTGGACTATAATTGTATGGTGGCTTTGCTCCCCTCTCCCACGAACTCTAGGGCTTCCATTTCCTCCTCAGAGGAGCAAATAATAACCGGTATTCAATGAGTGCTTACTATATTTAATACACAGAATAACTCACTGAGCTCCATGGTACCCCACAATGTGCGTAGTATTATTGTATCCATTTTACAGAGGAGGAAACTGAGTCACGGAGCAGCTAAGGACCACATCTAAATGTCTAAGGTCTTCGCTCAGATATATTCACACCTGCAGAGAGAGAGCAGTTTCTCAAATGCAAACACAGGCAAGACACACGCACGCACGCATGCACGCACACACATACAACCTCACTTCATTCAAACATTATCTAGGTACCAGCTCTTGTGCTGGCCCTTTCTGGGTGCAGAGACAGAGGTAACCACATGTAGCCCCAGAGCCTGGAAGAGCCCAGTGTAGCCTGTGCGTGTGTTTGGAGACAGTCACTTAGAATCCCACAAAGCACAGGCTAACACAAAGTGGCCTGGGATCACTGAAACAGACCCAAGTGTCTGGGAAAGTAAAGAGGAGAGGCATCTGGAAAACTGGCCAAGGAGAGGGCAACTCAGCTGGATCTTGAAGCATGAATAGAAGTTTGCAAGGCAGAAGAAGGGGAACAGAGCAACCCTCACCTACTATTCACAAGTCAGACAAAAGGGGACATGAGGAACCTCGGGTAGTTTGCTTTATTTAAGCATTAAGCACTGGAAAGAGGCTAGAAAATATGACTGGGACTAGGTCACTGGCAGCCTTGAATGCCAGGATAAAGACTGGGCTCGGGCCTGTGGTCAGATGCACCCTAAGGGGAGGCAGTGCAACAGACTGGTTAAGGCACTGAACGTGTCTACCTGCATTCAAGCCTTGGCCCTGCTATACAATCTTAGCCTCAGCTTCTCGTGTAGGGCTAATAATAGTGGAAACTGCATCGAGCCCTGGGGGGACAGCACAAATAAGATAATAATGTGTGTAAAGCATAGTGCCCTGATCATAATAAGCACTTAATGGATATTAGCTGTGGTTTTTTATTGTGTGGGCGAAGAGTATGTCACTAGAGGACTTTAAAAGAAGAACTAGATCTTACCTCTGGATCAGGGGGAGGTCCAATCAGAAGAGAAGCAGGTATTAGGGCCGGAGATGAAGTAAGAACTTACTTCCCCAGCTCAGAGGGGAACCCATGAGGCCTGAACTAGTGCCCTGGCAGAGAGATGAAGAGGAGATGGAATTGGAATTGTATTGTAGGTCAGGAAGATGAAGTAGAGAAGGAAAGAAAAATAACAGGGAGGAGTGCCTCTTCCCACTGCCGGCCTCAGTTTCCTCATCTGTAAAACAAAGATAATAATCCCTGTCCTGGCCTCATGGCAAGGTTATTGTGAGCATCAAATAGAATGGTGGGTGGGAGGGCGCTTTATAGGTCCAGAAGGTGGCTGGGAGGGTTCTGATGTCCAGCGGCCAGCAACTCCTCTTAAGCAAACCATCCTGACACACCGACTCTGCCCCCAGGCCCACTGAACTTCCACATGCTCCAGATCGCCCACTTCCGCGACCCCTATCACGTGAGGTATTACGGCAACGCGTCACTGGGGGGACATCTGACACACAGACTGGAGGGCCCAGGCAACAACGTCACAATCCTGCAGCTGCAGCCCGTGCAGGAGCCACAGAGCTGGGCGCACACAGAGACAGGTCTGCATCTCTACCTGCAGCAGTTCCAGAGCCTCGTGCGGCTGGTGTACATGGAACAGAGGAACAGCGTCACCTGTGAGTTGGGGGCGGGGCCTGGGCGGGGCCGGCGAGGCGCGCCCTGGGTGGGCGGGGCTTTGTGAGAAGGGCATCACGTGGGTGGGGCAGTCTGAGTGTGGGCGGGGCTGCTGTAAATTGGCGCACAGGTTCTTGGAGATGGACCGGTGCGAGTTTGAGGTTGGAGGGGTGTGGTGTCCGAGGAAACAAATCTCTCCATCAGACCTTCCAGCTGGCAAGACCCCTTGGGGTGAACCGTGTTGGGAGGCCTTGTCCCTGACCCACTCACTCTTACCTCAAGCAAGGTTCACTGAAGTCTCCCCGCTCCTTGCCTCACAATCTCTTCCCACTCCTTTGCTTCCTAGACCCGGGTGGTTCCTTCACACAACCAGCAGCTCCTTCCCCTCAACCCTCCAGCCCTCTCTCCTTAGACACTGATGACTTCTCTCCAGCTCCCTCACAACCCCCAACTCCTTCCCTTCAGAAACCCCAGTTTCTTCTCTGCCATCCCTCAGTCCCTGCACTCACAGCCCCAACTATCCTCTCTCATAGTCCCTTGCACTTCCTTCGATGGCCTCTAAAAGTCTAACCTCAACCACCCTCCTCCTCGTCTCAGCCCGTGCCTCCCACCGTGCGCTCTTCCCCATGGAGGACCCTTCCCCCGCCCCACACTGACTTCCTCTCCACGCAGCCTCTGATCCTGAACCCCCTCCACAGTTCCTCTCACCATCCGCTGCTTCCTGGGCTGCGAGCTGCCTCCTGAAGACTCTGAGAGCTCCAAAGCCCGTGTCTTCTTCGAAGTGGCTTTGAATGGGAGCTCCTTTGTGAGTTTCCAGCCGGAGGATGCCCAGTGGGTGCCAGGACCCGAGGCACCCTCCACTTTGGTCACTTACACGCTGAAGCAACTCAACAGCTACAATCGTACTCGGTATGAAATGCGGGAATTTCTGCAGGACACCTGTGTGCAGTACGTTCAGGAACATATCACCATGAAAAACTCGAAAGGTACCAGGGTCTTGGGCCGTGCTTGTGTGTTAGGGAGTGGGTGGGTTCTAGGCAAATAGATGGACCTGAAGGATGTGAACTACAAGGGTCAGGAGCTGGGAGTGGGGGCAGAGCACACGTAGCTTAAGTCATTGGATTGACTGGCCCTTTCGCTTTGGGGGCAGAAATCCCTTGGGGTTTGACTCAAACCACAGACTCTTTGGTGAGATTCTTAAACTAACTCTCTGCATGTTCTGCAGGGAGCCAAACAGGCCGCTCCTACACTTCACTGGTCCTGGGCATCCTGGTGGGCAGTTTTGTCATCGCTGGTGTGGCTGTGGGCATCTTCCTGTACACAGGTGGACGGCGATGTTAATTACGCTCCAGCTCACTCGAGAAAGGGCTGGGTTGACCAGAGCTGGCAAGGGAAGGTCTCAGCTGACATGAAGCCAAACAGATGCTCCAACTGGGACACCATATCCCAGAAAGTTTGCAGTGACAGCTCCTTTTTTCTCCCAAATCTGCCCACCAAGGGTTTGGGGAAGGGATGTGGGGAGGCTTGGTAATTGGTTTGCTAAGAACCTAACAACTTGCGTGCTTTGCTGAATTGGTATGAGAAGTGAATGTCTATGTATATTTGTGGAAAACAGATGAAGGAGTTGGGGCAGGAGTGTCTATGGCCCATCCTCCAAAGGTAGAATCACCTGAGACACTGAACGCACATAAGGAAATAAAACAAATTGTCCATTACCAAAATAAACAGCATTCAGTGGTTCCAGGTGTGTCCAACTTGGGAAGGGACACTGGGATAAAAGAGGTAGAAAGAAGTAAACAGAGGAATGGTATAAAGATAAAAATCAAAGTAATATGGAAACAATGTTATTAATTAATTTTAAAATATGAATAAATATATTGCTTATGCAAATAGCATAATTGTTTCCTCTATTTTACAAAACTTCTGGAGAAGTAGTTTATACTCTCTGCTACTGCTTCTTCCTATCCCACTCTTTTTTTTTTTTTTTTTTGAGACAAGGTCTACCTATGTACTTCAAGTTGAACTTGAACTCACTATGTAGCCCAGGCTGGACTCGAACTCACAGTGCTTCTCGTGCCTCAGCCTCCAGAGTACTAGGATCACAGGCGTGCACCACCACACCTTTTATATTCCCTGCAATCTGGCTTCTTTGTAAACTACTCTAAGATCGCTAGTCATTGTCAAACTTTTTTCCTCCATGATATCTATACATTAGACCACTCTTTTACCATGACTTTGGAGAACCTATACTATTTTTTTTTTTTTCTTTTTTAGTACCGGGGATCAAACTTGGGACTTTGCGCTTGCGAGGCAGGCAGCAGAACTACTGAGCTAAATCCCTGGCCTGGAGATACTATACTTCTTCTAATTCATAAAAACGATTCTGGGTACTATTTTTCAATCCTTAGACTACAGGAATGGTTAAAGAAACAGTGAATATTTAAATAAAAATTTATTACAGTAAAAGACAGACACATTTCCATTAATCCCCCTTAAAGTAGGCCTCCTTGCTTCAAACACTCTTAGCCTAGGGCCAGGGATTTAGCTCAGTTGTTCTGCTGCCTGCCTTGCAAGCGCAAGGACCTGAGTTCAATCCCCGGTACCAAAAAAACAAAACAAAACAAAACCAAAAAACAAACAAACACTCTTAGCCTAACATTCTTGCCACTTTCTGAAGCGGTTCTGTAAGTCTTTCATGTCTTTGGTTCATGCTGTCAAGGCTACCTCAATGTTCTGAAACAATTAAAAATGTGTACCTTTTGTGGTCATTTTGACTCTGGGGAAGAGCCAGAAGTGACAAGATATCACATTCAATGAGTAAAATGGTGAAGACACACCATACTGCTTTTACAAGCCTGCCTTTCACTTGGATTGCTCTTGGGAGCAATATTCACTCTACTTTTTATCATACCTGGTAAAGTCACTCATGAAAGTTAATGTCTAGAAATGCTTCAGAAGGTGGCAAGAGCACCGGGATGAGTGTGTTCAAAGCGAGGGAGAATATTTTGAGGGGCATTAATGGTGATGTGTCTTTTACTGTAATTTTTTCATCTGAACACGCTATCTCTTAGCCCTTGTATGTTATCCTACTCAACTTATCCTGGAAATGTTGGCTTTCTTAAGGTGCCATTTGTGGGGGCGGTTAAAACAGGACCTTTCTATGTAGTTCAGGCTGGACTTGAACTCACTACGTAGCCCAGGCTGGCTTCAAACTCATTGTGATCTTCTTATCCTTCACAGCACATATTTTGTCATCAAATTTGAGTATTTCTTTGAGCCAAGCATTTCAATTTTTCTGTGTATGTATTTATTTATGGTACCGAGGATCGAACTTAGGCCCTTCCGTGCTTCCAAGGCAGGCGGTGGAACCACTGAGCCAAGTCCCCGGCTGAGCCAAGCATTTAACTTCTTCAAGTCTGTTTCATCATTTACAAAGGTATAATAAAACATACAAAAGGGAAGTAAGAAATACAATACGTACCTCACAGAGGCACTGTGAGTATTAGATATTATATGCATAGTTGCTAAGTACAGCAGCGGCTACAGATCTCCAAACCCCCCACATGTCTTGATTCTTGAAAATCACCTGTACTCTAATACTTGGCAGACATTTCAGGGTAACATATTCAAAACTCAATGTATTATCTTTCAAAATTATCTTTCTTATCAACCCTGTCCTCTCTTCTGTTGTTCACTGTCTGTTAATAGGTAATAAAATGGTCAAGTCACATAGATGTAGAGACCTCAGTGTCAACTCTACTCTCTTTTCATCCTTTCCCACAAGATGCAATATCCATAGAATCCATTCCTTCCTTTCCACCCATTACTTGATTCAAGATATCACCATGCGTCTTTCCCTGTGCCACCCAGCTCAACCCCCTGCTCACCTTCAGGGAAGATGGACAACAGACAGCCCCCAGCTGCTTCATCTTAGTCCCAGCCTCCACTGCTCTGGCCACTCTCCTCCAGGCTCTGGCCACTCTCTGGAGCAGTTCTGGATGTCCTCTTTCATCCGTGTCTTTACAAGGTCTGATAAAAAAGTATAGTGAGTACTGTTCCCAAGTGCCATCCACCTGAAAGGCAGGCTTGTAAAGGCATTATGTTGTGTCCTCCTCCACCATATTCCCTGGATGTGACATCGTGTCACTTTTGGGAACTGAGCAAGGCAGGGGTGTAAATATCCAGCCACTGCAGTCAACACAACAGTAGGACAATTCCCATGAAGAGTATTCACTCCAGAATTCCCTGCCAGGTGGCTGGGGCTTTGTCAAACCTATAATGCAGTTTGACTTTCCCTTTAACTGGATCCTGCTTTCTACCCCTAGTAAACATCTTGTACCTTGGACTATCTCAGCATCTGATTTCAGAAAACTCAACATGTAGCCAGATGTGGTGGTATACAACTGCAATCTCAGGATTCTGGAAGATCGAGGCAAGAGGATTGCCAAGTTCAAGTCCCACCAGGGCAATTTAGCAATTTAGCAAGACTCTGTCTCAAGATTTTTTTAAAAAAATAAAAAGGCCAAGGAGGTAGTTCAGTATGAAAGCCTTGACTTCAATCTCAATACCACCAAAACAAACAAAAATCCTGTGTGTGTTTGTGTACACATAAGCACATGCATACACAAGCCTTCTCCCTTTCTGTCTCTCAAAACTGAGAAACGTTCTAAGACTTTTATCTGGACCATGCAAATGACCTCCTCCTACATTTCCTCTTTGTTTCTTATTTCTGTATGTTCTCATTCATCTTCCACATAGCAACAGAAAACACAGATATGAGACTAGGGGTGGTAGCACACACCTGTAATCCAGCACTCCGAGAGGCTAAGGCAGGAGGTTTGCAAGTTCAAGCCCAATCCGGGCAATGTAGGGAGACCCTGTCTCAAAATTAAAAATAAAAAGGGAGCTAGGTATGGTGGTGCTGCTTGTAATGTCAGCATTCTGGGAGGCTAAGACAGGAAGATCACAGGTTTAAACCCAGCCTGGGCAACTTAGTGACTTAGTGGGACCCTGTCTCAAAATGCAAAATTTAAAAAGGTCTAGTGATGTAGCTTAGTGTGAAGAAGGCCTTGGATTCAATCCCTATATATACATATATATATATTTAATATATATTTATATTTAATATATATTTAATTTATTATACTTATCAAGTTAAATTCAAAATCCTCAAAATTATATTAAGGATGTACACAATATTGCCCAAATCCAATTGCCTCATTTTGTTTTACCCAGATGTACTCCAGCTTATTATTGGGAAAGGACATTTTTAAATAACAGAACAAATAACACAACAGTAACAATACAGAATTTACAAACAAAACACAAGATTCCTGTTATCTCTCTTTTTTTTCCTGTTATCTCTTTCTCCCTAAATCCTCATCCCAGAAATATGTCAGGATTCTTAGTTGCAAACAACAGAAAGCTACTCTGCAAATTTAAAAGGGAGGCCAGGGATTTAGCTCAGTGGTGCCACCACCTGCCTTGCAAGGGCCAAAGTCCTGAGTTTGATCCAGTACCAAAAAAAAGGAAATATATTGGAAGGTTATCAAATAATCCTGAGTTAAAAGGGAAGGTCAGTTAATCAAGCTCAGCAAGTAGAGCCCAGGACCACAGTCACAGCCCCACCCCAAGAACTGTCTAGTGATGGACTTAGTGGCGCATGCCTGTGATCCCACCAGCCAGGAGAGTGAGGCAGAAGCCACCCTGGACTACACAGTGAGTTCAAGACCAGCCTGGGATACATAAGCAAGACCTTGTTTTAAAAAACAAAAACAAAGGGAAGCAAAGAATGATCTAGTTATGGATACCACAGCCAGACTACTGCCCCCATCACTGTCAAGCTGTGCTGTCATCTTAATGAGTTCTCCTCTGCCCCCTATGCCTTCATATCATTAGCTTAAGATTCAGAGTCCTGGGTGGGAGGATCCACGTGATAAAGCATAGGCCATGGAGCATGGGTCCTGTTTCCTTTGCCTCGGCAGCAGTGTGGGGAGGGGAGACCTTATCTTTGGCTTCTCTTGTGGGAAGTAGGACCCTGTCTTCCATTAGACACACACCAAGGAGGAGGTTTCAGGTGCTGAGCAACTGAAAGACAAAAAGAAAGCAAAAGAAAAATGAAATAGAAAAGTGAATGACCCTCAACTGTTCACTATATTTCACATCCTTTATTCATTCAGTAAATGTTTACCAGTGAGCTCTGCATACATGAGCCTCTGTGCTACAGACAGTGGAAGAAATAAAATGGTTAAGACATAGACCTCGAGGAACCTGGGGTTAGGAAGATAAAACATGTACAAATAAGAACAATACAAGGCCAGGTGTCCTAATAGGATGTAGGCTTTAGGGTATAAGATGTCCTAATAGTCAGACATGATAGTATATGCCTGTAATCCCAATACTTGGGAGGCTGAGGCAGGAGGATCTCTGTGGGTTCAAGGCTATCCTGGGCTACATAGTGAGTTCAAGGCCAATGTAGACTATTCAGTAAGACCCTGTCTCAAAAACAAAACAAAACAATGTCCTAGTGGCTGGAAGAAATACGCAAATAAAAATGTTATGTTGTAATTTACTATAGTGGTCATCATTTAAATATTGCTTTGTAGTTTTTGGAATCCTTTAACTTGCATCTATCATTTAGTGCTTACTGACGTCTTATAAAATACATATTATATTCTCTTCATGTTACCTTAGGAAATATGTTTATCAAAAATAAGTAAATGGTAGAGCCAGGGTTTGAATCCATGCCATCGTGTTCTAGGATTTATGCCTTCTTTCCTTTATTAAAACTGAAAGAATCAAAGGAATCTGGGGAGGAGTAGACAGCAGGATTGTGGATGGATAAGGCACAATTGTGCATATATAGGAAAGAGAGACCAAACAGCAAGAGTTAGAAAAAGCAGAGTTAATTTTAGGAAAGACAGTTATCTCGGTGTGGTTGGAGAGTAGAATGGTGAAAAAGTGAGAGTAGAGATACAGACTGTG